CTGCAGGTGGCCCGGCGCGGCCGCCGCCGCGGCTGCAGCGGTGCGGCTGCTACACCGCCGCCGCACCCGTATTAGCCGATAGTAATGCCCTCGATTACGGCTGGCATAAGCGGTGGCCTGGCACGCGGAGAGTCTGTAATTAGCCTAATGTAACTGGCCGCGAACGTTTTCCAATACAATACTGTGGGCGAAACGGGCGGCCGCCGCTGCCGGCACGCCAGTTGTTCGGAGAACGCTCCACCCCCAGTCCAACTGCCTTCCAGAGCGCCGCGCCGGGAGAGCGCGCCGGGCCGGAGCGGTGCCGATCTTGGGCGAGGACCTCGCGAGCAGAGTGGGTCTCCTATCAGAGATGAAAGCCCGCCGGCGGAGCCCGCGCCGAAATGGAACGTTTCGTTTCGTGCTCGCTCCCACTTAGCCACTCGGTTGTATGTTCTTCGTTATGCTCAGACGTGCAATTTATTGCTAATGACTCTGTGCTTCATAACCCTACAAATATTTTTATTACGTAATGAGGTAAAATTAGGGTTGTTGATCTTTATGATATGGGGAAGGACTGCGGGTTTCGAGCCGCTACATGTGCGCAAGCGGGGCAGTTTCGGCGCCCCCATCAAGCGTGGCTTGACTCAAGGTCGCGGGGGTCACGAGCTCCGAACTGCCGGGTGAGACGCCCAGCATTTGGCGCTTGGAAGAGGCTGAGAATTGAACAGCCTAAAGATGACGAGTGCGCTGCGCCCTGCGGAGATAGAGGTCGGTCGTCAGAGAACAGCGGGAGACGCTGCCCGGCCGCTTGCGTCGCTGTCGCCGCCTCGCCTGACGAGGCAGCGGGCCGCTGTGACGGCTTCATACGGGGCGACGACAGCTTTACTGCACCGTGCCGCTTTACGGGCGCTGCCGAGGCTGCGGGTCCGGCGGCACCCCCAGCCGTCCTGGACCGGACGCTCCTGCCGCTGCCGGAGGGCTGTTTGGGACTGGACCGGCCACTTGCTGCCACCGTCGGCCGGCTGTCCGGGGCTGGGCCGGCCGCTGCTGCCACTGTCGGCCGGCTGTCCTGGGCTGGACCGGCCGCTGCTGCCGCTGTCGGCCGGCTGTCCTGGGCTGGGCCGGCCGCTGCTGCCACTGTCGGCCGGCTGTCCGGGGCTGGACCGGCCGCTGCTGCCTCTGTCCGGCCGGCTGTCCGGGGCTGGACCGGCCGCTGCTGCCGCTGTCGGCCGGCTGTCCGGGGCTGGGCCGGCCGCTGCTGCCGCTGTCAGCCGGCTGTCCGGGGCTGAACCGGCCGCTGCTGCCGCTGTCAGCCGGCTGTCCGGGGTTGGACCGGCTGTTGCTTCTGCTGCCGCTGCCGGTCCGCTGTCCTGGGCTGGACCGGCTGCTGCTGCCACTGCAGCTGATTGGCGGCAGGGTTTATCACCTGACAAATTCGAGCCGGCCAGCAGTTATAGGCCCATGAATACTCGTGTTACAAGGGCCGGTGCCGGCGCGCTCCGACATGAGGCCTCGCCTCTCTCGGCCGGGAATGTAACGGAACATTGCAGCCTGTCGAATTTACCTGTTGCGGCGACAGATGATGCACTCACCGGCGCGACACAGCCACCCGTCCTTCACACTACGAGCTCGCGTTGGCACCGATGTAGCCGTGAAATGAAACCGGACTTACGTGAAATTAGTCCGGACTTAATTTGTTATTGCTGCTGCTTGGATCTATGAACAGGGATGAAGAAAAATAGCCAGACCGTCGGCAAAGGTCAAACAGGCACGTTTGAAAGCCCAGCAATACTTCTGGCCTTCCCTCCAGAATGTGCTTTGTGCTGTTTTTCATTTTAGACCTTCACACCATTGATTCTGAAGTGGAATTGCCCATAACTGGAGAATCAAACATAAACGTTTCAGTGCAATCACCGAAGTGGCGTTGAGTCCATGACTGCCAATGGGACTCCAGAGGCACTATGACCCGGCCGGCCGCCGCCTGTCCGGGTCCACACTGGCCGACTCTCACGGACTGTTGTCGCCTTCCGCTAGCCGGCCGCATCCCAGCTCGCGTCACTCGTCGGCTCTATATTCATGGAAGATCGGCCAGCCGATCTGTCACGAGTGCCACGTTTGTGACCGGAAAATCAATGGTGGCCGGCGGTGACGCGGCCGGCGCCGATCCGTCAGCGGCGGGCACAGCGGACACGGCGGACACGGCGGACACAACAGCTCGGCGGGAGCGGAGCCACCGCGGTCCGCCGCAATCAATCGCCCGGGCTCGCCGAGCAGACGCGTTTGGACAGCACCGGCCATCGCCCGAGACGTGGGCAGACTGCGCCGAAATCGTCCAACCCAGGCGCTATGCGTGATGGATCTGGGCGCGCTCGCGTCGTCGTGAATTGCGGCGCGTCGGCCGCGCCGCGCCACCGTGAGAGCGGCCGCCCGACAGCCGCCCAATCGGCTCTCGGATCGTACCGAAGATGTATGGGCGATGCCCCAATATGGCGACGAGCGAGCACCCGTACCCTACTGGGCTGATAACAGTCGCCCGTACATCATTAGTTGTTTGATTTATTTCTTCGGACGGGCGATTTCCTGCGCAGATAAAATGGCTCGTCTTCGGCCCTGTTTGTCGGATGCCTGCTGGCTCCGTGAGAATAGTCGTAGTAAGGCAGGCATGTTTGCGTATGATGGACACCGATAGGTATATCTCCCAGAAACTAGGGTTTTTGCAGAGGCAACGAAAGCGCCAGCAGCTGAGGGGGGGGGGGCACAGGGATTTCTGTTTTTTTGGGTCAAACGACGCAGTCAACCACACAACCAAATTGTCAGTGAGTTGGAGGACTCAACACTTCGGGCACACTTGTCATCATGTCCCACTTTTGCGTATTTGATTTATCTATTTGGGCTGGGGCCTTTTGAAATATCAGTTTTGATACTGTTTTCGATATTATTTTAAAGAAGGGGCTGGCTGCAGCATGGTATAATGTCGTGCGCCCTAAAGCCCTGGTCATCATCGAAATGACTGAGCAAAATGAAAATGATGTCAAGCAAGCCGAAGTCTGAAAAATATTTTAGGCATGGTTCTGGACATGTTCGTGTCTAGCGATCGTGTTGGTGTCATTTACATTTGTACAAGATTCCGTTCTCGTTGCTGACTTTTCAGTGAAAAATAGATATCTGGCAGACTTTCGTCAAATAAACAGTGTTGTGGGCAGTACATTTATGGCGCACATGTGATGAACTGGCCCTACACAATTCGTTGGCATGGGCATTTCAAGGTCACGTTGTGATGGTTTGCTTTTGGAGGGGGTTGGGGTGTGATTTACATGGATTCAGATGATGAAATGGGCTATGTCCTGGTAGGTTCATGACGTGGTGGTTGAAAATGGCTTCGGATTCATCATCCATTTGCCATTTGAATTATGTGATGTGGCAACGTGTTAAGAGTGATACGTTTAAGTAAACACCTGCAGTTTCCTGCAGCATGTGTGTTTGCATTATTCGACTGAAATGTTTCTAAGGCAGCATCACGTTCCATCCAAACAATCAGATATAAACACAACTTGTCTTTCAGGATGGATCGATTCATGAACAGAGTGTAGTTTTAGAATGGTGTGTTGGATAGTTTTGAACATGATCATGAACAATTTTATTTGACAAACTGCAAAGGGAGGAAGCTTAAACATTCATTGCATGTTTACAAGCAGGTTTTCACTGTTCTTAAGTGTTATAATGTAGTACTTATTTTGTTATCCCTTGCTGGCCTGTGAAATCTAGATGTATAGGCAGATATAGTCATTTTTATTTTGATATTTTGTGTAGTTATAAAATGCTTAGGAATGGGTTTGCAAGCAAGGTTTGGTGTTGATAGACTATCGAAGCAAGACTCAGTTTCATTAGGGACAGCAAATGAATGAATGGTTAGGAAGATGAACTACTTACAAGGTGTCAAAATATGTGTTTAATTTGTCAAGCATATGGGCCAATGACAGAAATATACATCATGGCTCTACTCCTTTTTACCAAACAGTTCAGTCCAAGTCAGCAGCCTCAAGGCAAACCTGCTGTGCTTTGTGTGATAATGCCATTGAAATTTAGTAACTAATTGATTACCCCTGTGGATGGGATCTGGCTTCGGCATTAGGTATTTCCATCTCAGTTCGGCCTCACTCAGTATTTTTTTCCTTCTGATTTTGGGTGAAGGGTTTCCTTCAGATGTGGGGCATGGTGTGTAGAAGCATATCACTTACAGTGAGGCAATATAGTCCCTCTATTTATATGGTTTTGCTGTGGAGCTAAGCCTAATGTTGGTTTAATCGGGGCAGGGAATGTCAGTTGTGATTACCATGTGGAAGCCTGCCTCTGAATTACTGAACTGTACACTTACAGACACTCAAATTGTCAGGAGTGCTGCTGTTACCATTGGTCATCTTGACCTACATTATGCTGTCCTATCCATGTTGAAATGGGATACTCAACTTTTTGACTAATGAAAATGGATGGCTAAGTCTGTGTAGTCATCCACATAATTTATATCATTTGGTTGCCTTGAATACAACAGTTTCAACACAGAGTTAATATCTCTTTTCAGGACATACTTATGATCTCATCTGTTCAGTTTGAACAGATGATGCCCTTCCTGTGCTAATGTTAATGTTAGTGAGTGAATTGTGAGCTTGCACAGAACTCTGGCACTGGTTGGTGGTGATGGATCAGAGTGAGCCACTAGGTCGTGTTGAGGGGTCAGATCCAGCTGCTGGGTTGTATTGGGGTGTCAGAGCCAGCTGCTGGGTTTTGTGGATGGGTTGGAGCCAGCTGCTGGGTTTTGTCGATTGGTCAGATCCAGCTGCTGGGTTGTATTGAGCAGTCAGAGCCAGCTGCTGGGTGGTGTTGAGCGATCGGGGCTGTCCCAAGCTGGCTGGGATGTGACCTTGTGTATTCAGTAGGGATGTGATGTTCGTGGAGGCTGCCAGTGATGCGTGCGCTAACACGAGCCTTAGCAGTCACCTAACGTGACCTGTCCTCTGTTGCAGGGAATCGGCATCGACAGCGATTCATTCCCAGGTGAAGTAACGATAATAAAGCGCGAGCCCGGTAAGTCTCCGGGCTTGCAGGCCGGCCGGGGACCGACCCGGCTGGTCAGGGGTCGGTGGCGGAGCGCCGGGGTGCAGAGGTCGTTCCAGCGCTGCTCTCCTGTGAGAGCAGCGGGCAGTTCCATCCCTGCTCTCTCTCTCTCTCTCTCCCTCTCAGAGGGAGGCAGGAGGCCTCTGAGCGACGACCATGGGGTGCACTTCGGGTACCGTTCTCGCCCGATGTTTTATAGGGACATGCACTGGGAGAACAAACCCAAAGTTACGGACGTACGTGTCGACTGTATACTTACTGCCATCGAATAAACTTTGGCGGAACTATTTTGCAGCGAAATTTATTCAACACTTGCCACGGAATTTACTTCATCTACTGATTCAGTTTTTTATATTTTTTCTGTTCTCGTTTCGTTGTTTTGTTATGGTTTGTGTGTGCGCGCGTGCGCGCGTGTGTGTGTGTGAGTATGTATTGACACGCACACACACTGTGTGCATGCTATGTTGTTTTGACTCTGGCCTGCTGGGTGACTGCCACTGGGGTCCTTTTATTTGCCTCCTGTTTCTGCTGGCGATCGATTCGAACGATCACTACTCCCCTCCTGAGCGCCGAACGTTCCCCTGCCCGTGGGCGGCTTACCAGACGCCCCGACGCTCTTAGCCCCGCCCGGCCCTTCCCTCGCCCACCCACCACATACCGGTATCCTCACACCCACCCCGCACTTGTCGTCACCGTTGGAGGTGCGCGCCGTCGGCATCGGTCCGCGTGCGGTCCGCGTCCGCGGTCCGTTTTCGTGGTCCGCGGTCCGTCCGACGGCCAGGGGTCACGCGAGCCTCGCACGCGTGGTCCGGACCAGCCGGACCTGGCACCGGTCCCATCTGGCGCCAGCTGGCTATCCCCGCTGTGAAGCCGAGCTGTCTGGCCGTGCTGTGCGGTCGTGGGTTTAAAGCACAAGGGCTGGCGGGCTGAGCGGCGAACATTAGCCCAGCCCTGATCGCCTGTCGTCATCCATTTGCATGGCATTTGAACTGGCTTGGGCAGGGGTGTTTTTAATAAACCCGGTTACAGCCGAGCCCATTGTACATGCGCCGCAGGGCGCTGGCTTTGAGAGCCCTCAAAAATCGTCCCGCTTATTTCCTGTGGAAACTGTGATCATGCCCTTCCAACCGCCTCGGGGGACGCGAGCGGTGACAGATGTGGTCTGTGTCGGCGCCCTCGTCGGACGCCTGGGGGCCCATTACCCGGCTTTTTAGCACGCAAATTGGGCCGATTCAGAGTGGCGGCGCGTCGCTCGCGATTCCGCCGGCTCCGTCTGCGCCGGCCAAGGGGAGCAATTCCCATTCGGGCGGCGGCGGGCGATATCGCCCACTTGTTGCGGGCCGGCCGTCTAAATCAGCTCTATCGTCGGTGGTGTGGCGCATAGGTGGCGCTGCCGCCGCCGCCGGCGCCGGCGGCGCGGCTCGTCTCAATAAACGTCGCGATGCCATCGCGCCGGCTCCGGGCGCGACGCGCTCGCCATCAGATATCATCTCGCACTTCATTTCCTCCCGAGAGGCGCGGCGGCGCCGGCTTTCACGCACGGGAAAAACACGCGGCGGCGGCGCGAGCGGCTGATTGGCGCCGCGGTCCGCCGACACCCGCGAAATCGCGCGGCGGCGGCGGCTCACCTGTTGCCGCCCGCGCGCCACTCGTCCATCACGGCCACCCGCAATTAAAGCGCGCGCCGTCCGGCCGGACGCCTTTGTGTGCCGGAGCGGCCGCGGCCGAACCGGCACGGAGGCTCGCTCCGCGTCTGCAGCGGCGGTGGCGCGAGGCGACGTCTGCGCCGGCGATTTTGGTTCGTCGTCTCTGTTTGATTCACTCCTGTGACCTGGGCTGGGTCACGATCGCTGTTCGCATCTCATGCAACACGGCCTGCTTCACGGTTCCGTGTTCGCGCGTAGAACACGGGAACACCCTCCCCTCCCCCCCCCCCCCCCCCCAGCCTTGCAGATCGCCACGGCTGAGGAGTGCTGGTCATGGCGACAGTTCCGGGGAGGGAAAGGGGGAGGGGGAGGGGACGTCGCCCGCCGCGGCCGCCTGCTGCACCGGGCTGAGCAGCCAGGCCGCGCCCGCCCACCTGCGGCCGTCACACATACCGCCGCCATCGGCACCGGGAGTCACAGCGCCGACGGGACCCTCCTTGCTGGCACCCCGGACAGCTCCGGCGAGTCGTTGACATCACGCTCTGTTATGACGGCTGGCAGTGTGGGCGTCGCTGGACAGCGGGACGAAGGGCGCGAGGTTTGCACCGGCGGCCTAATGCCGATTTATGGCCGCGCCAGGGCCATGCACGGCGGCGGCTGTGCCGTCGCAGCGCGCGACACCGGCCCGGCGTCACGCTGAGCACAGGCTCGCCGGCGACCGGGGCCGGGTGGCTGCGCCCCGACCCGGCCTGACCCCACCCCGTCAGGCCCGACACGACGTGGATCCGCCCACTGACCAGACGTGTCCCGGCGCGACCACGACTCGCGGGCACTGGCCGCTCGGGCTGAGACGCAGTAACACTCTTGGCTGTGATGCTCCCGGGGCGCGGCGAGCCGCCGGCTTGATGCCGGATCTCGCCGGCGACGCGGGCCGAATTGGCCGGCGCCGTCGCTGGGTCGTCGCGTCTGAAAACCGTGACGGTCTGCCCACCTGTGTCTGCTGCACGGCTTCTGTTCACCTCGGCCGCCGAGCCAGATTTGGCTCGCCCGCCGCCGCTCGCTTCCCTGCAGTCGTTCGGTTGGTTTTGTTGGCGTGCGGGCCGCGCGCCGCGTGCCGCGGTGTCTCTTCTCCCGAGTGCGGTGGCGGCCGCGGCCGGCGCCCGAGACCCCGCGCAGAGCCGTCGGCCGCGCCGGGCCGGCACTAACGGCCAGGGCGTTTGCAGGCCCAAAGTCGGACTCGGATGAGTTCCTCCTGCACGGGGGCGCGCACCCCTCTGACGCGTTCTGCGGCGTGCCCGGCCGACTCTCGCTGCTGAGCTCCAATTCCAAGTACAAAGTGAATGTGGCAGAGGTGCGGCGTCGCCTCTCGCCGCCCGAGTGCCTCAACGCCTCGCTCATGGGCGGCATTCTGCGCAGGTAGGTGTGACCCCGGCCTCAGCGCGACCGACCGATCGACGCTGACCCGACCTGGCCCGCTCCTGACCCGCGTCTGCCCCTCCCCCTCTTCCGTCCGCCCGCCCAGGTCGGCAGGGGACACCGGCGGCCGGCCGGCGTGCGGCCGCTGACGGCCGTCCGGCTGCGCCGACAGGTCTCAAGCGCGAGATGGCCCCCACAGAGGTGTTCTGTAGCGTGCCTGGCCGCCTGTCGCTGCTCAGCTCCACATCCAAGTACAAGGTGACCGTGGGCGAGGTGCAGCGGCGGCTGGCGGCGCCCGAGTGTCTCAACGCCTCGCTGCTGGGCGGCGTGCTCCGGAGGTAAGCCGTCCGAGGCGGCGCCCCGGCCGCCGGTCGGCGCTCGCCGCTGGTCTCGGTCAGCTCGTGCGCGTGTTGCATGGGTGCGTGATGTGCGCGTGTGCGTGTTGGTGTTGGTGTTGGTGTTGGTGCGTGTCGTGTCTCGGGCGTCCTCTGCAGGTGCGCCCGGCGGTGGGGCTAGCCCCGCGTCGTGCCGCTGGCCGGCACCGGCGCTGCCCGCTCAGCCGCTGCGCTGCTCCGTCGCCCGGTCGGTACCGGGTGTCGCTGCGTGACCGTTGCTCTCGGGACCTGGGGTCCGGCCGTGGCCATGCTGCTGAACCGTGTCTCAGCCGCTGCGCTGCTGCGTCGCCCGGTCGGTACCGGGTGTCGCTGTGTGACCGCTGCTCTCGAGACCCATGGCCGTGGCCATGCTGCTGAACCGTGTCTCAGGCCGCGTGTTTGCCCGCTGCTGACGGCTCGTGGTGTCCAGCATGTGCCGGAGAGCAATAAGATATTGGTTTGTTTAAGTGTGGCTGCACACTGCGCTTCTGAGGTGTGTCTGCTGTCCGTGCTGTCTTCTGAGGTGTGTCTGCTGTCTGCGCTGTCTTCTGAGGTGTGTCTGCCGTCCATGCTATCTTCTGAGGCATGTCTGTTGTCCGTGCTGTTAGCGTGTACCCGTGGCGTCCATCTGCATTACCGAGCTGTATTTGTACTGTCGCTGCATCCGTATTATCGCCGGGCTGTATCTACATTGTCGCTGAGCTGTATCGGTATTGTCGCCGGACTACAGCCGCATTGTCCCGTGGCTGTAGCCGTATTGTCGCCGGGCTGTATCCGCGTTGTCGCCGGGTTATATCCGTACAGCCGCCGGCTGTAGCCGCCTTGTCGCCGGGCTGTAGCCGCCTTGTCGCCGGGTTATATCCGCATTGTCTCCGGGCTGTAGCCGCATTGTGGCCGGGCTGTATCCGCACTGTCGCCGGCTTTAGCCGCACTGTCGCCGGGCTGTAGCTTCATTGTCGCCGGGCTGTAGCCGCATTGTCGCCGGGCTGTAGCCGTATTGTGGCCGGGCTGTAGCGGCGCTGGCGGCGGGCTGTGTGGCCGTGCTGTCGGCCGGTGTCGGAGGCGTTACCTCATTGTCAGCGGCGGCGCCGGCGTGCCGCCGCCGGCCGGTCGCGGATCAGCCGCCGCTGCCGGTAAGCCGGACCAGCAAACAGGCCCATTGAGGGCGGCCGTCGTCGCGCCGGCCGTGTTCCGGCACTGCTGCCTTTCAGGCGTCGCTGAATGGAGCCTTAAATCTGAATAGGCCTCCCGGTCGTTACGCGTCCGTCCCGCTCCCGCTGTCTCTCCCTCTCTCTCTCTCTCCCTCTCTCTCTTCCTCTCCCTTCCTCTCCCTTTCTCTCTCTTCCTCTCCCTTCCTCTCCTTCTCCCTCTCCTCTCCCTCTCTCTCTCCCTCTCCCTGTCTTTCTCTCCCCCTCCCCCCTCTCTCTCTCTCTCCACCTCTCGCTCTCTCTCTCTCCCTCTCTCCATCTCCGTCTCCGTCTTCCTCTCCGTCTCCGTCTCTGTCTCCGTCTCTGTCTCCGTCTCCTGTCTCTGTCTCTGTCTCTGTCTCTGTCTCTGTTTCTGTCTGTCTCTGTCTCTGTCTCTGCTCTTCCTGCTCCGGCCGCTGCTCCCAGGCCGTTCGGTTTGTGTGGTGGACGTCTCACCTTCGAGATTTGACCGGTGTATCCATCCTCAATCTGTAATTTTTTCCTTCCTTTACATCACCGGATTAGAAATCCGTTTTTATCCTTCTCTATTCACGTTCAGTGTTTGAGTTCTGGTCACAGCATGATCTCGTTAACTGGCGCTCATCGAAACTCTACCGGCCACCATGCATATGAGCTCTCCCCTCGCTTCCTGCGGTCACCTCTCATCGCATCGCGCCGTCGCATCTGCCCGTGCCCGTCGCTCCGTTTCCGTGCGGGCCTCTGCGGTCCCCTGTCGTCTGCGTGACCGGCTGCCGTCAGTCGGCCGGGCGAGCCGGAGTCTGCCGCCGCCTGCGACGATTCGGCGCCAGATAAGCGCGCATGAGAATGGGGCCTTGTAAACAATAACCGGCGCTGCTTGTCATCCAAATTGCCTTGTTTTTGTCGCTCTCCGCGGACATGTCTCCGGGAGACGTTATGTGACGTCACCGAGATTAGAGACGAGTCTAACGGCCGGACCGGCAGGCGTCTGGTGTGAGGGCCGGCTCTGGCGAGCGGATGTGATAAATTGAGCTGTAGTGTGATGCGATAGTGGTCCGAGTGTGTGAGTTAAAGCGATCTTGTTTCTTCTGCTGTGACTGGCCTGGCGATAGCTCTCTTGAATTATGTCTGCGTGGAGACCGTAGATGTCTGAGAGGACAGAAACATGCCTCGACCGTAGATGTCTGAGAGGACAGAAACATGCCTCGACCGTAGATGTCTGAGAGGACAGAAACATGTCTCGACCGTAGATGTCTGAGAGGACAGAAACATGCCTCGACCGTAGATGTCTGGGAGGACAGAAACATGCCTCGGGGAGTCCCGCTTGTGAGTGCGTCTGGAACTAATCGGGCACACGGGAACCACCTGGGCACGCTGGAACCGCCCGGGCACGCTGGAACCGCCCGGGCACGCTGGAACCACCTGGCACTTAGCCCGGGGCGCGCTGAAACCACCCGGGTGCGCTACAACCACCCGCGCATTCTGAAATCACCCGGGCACTCGGGAACAACCCGGGCGCATTGGAACCACCCGGGCACACTGGAACCACCTGGGCACTTTCGAATCACTCTTCCTAGGCTCGGTTTGTATCCCGACAGCCATGCGGTTCTGATGTACGTGGTCGGAATGGAGGCTCGTGTCGCTTCTGCACAGCCACTCGTGTTTTGGCAGAGTTTGTGCTAAATTTGATATACAGCTGCCGCACTCATGGCCCCCGGGAAGGACTTCGTTGCTATGCACCTGACGGATATGTTGGCGGGCAGCGCCACCCGTGCCGACTTAATTGGCAGTCCCACCAGGGAGTGCTGACTTGTTCAGGTGGATGGCGATAACCGGTTACTCGAGCTTGTCCACGGGCAAAGTTCGCTTACCCATAAAGACCGATTTAGGCTCGTTCCTGCACAAGTTGTGTACCAAAGGTCCGTGGCTTTCTACTTGCCGAACGCACACTCGCCCTCGCTGATACATCAGTAGTCTGGGGTCGGAGCAGCGCCGTGTTTGGCCCGGAGATGGCCACTCGCTGACGACATGACGGCGGCGCCCGCTCAGCGCTCTCCGTTCCGTGTCCGGGATGGGTGCGCGCGCGGCCCCCGAACCACCCCACCGAGCGCCGGCCATGCGCGGCTAGCATTCCGGCAATGCTGGGCGTGCGTGGCTGTCGTGGCGCGGCGGCGGCGGTGCGCGCCCGGAGAGTGCCGGCCCGCGCACAAAGGACGCGCCGTCTCTGGCGCCGTATCGGCCCGCGATCGGGCGCGCCGCATGAATGAGCCGCGCTGCCGGCCGGCGGCGCTCGGAAATCTTAATTAGCGCCCTGGCAGCCAGCTGATGGATGGGCGACGTGGCTGCTCTCGGCGCGACTGTCCTGGACTCGGACTCCGGACTCTGCGTCCCGGAGAGGGACGTGGTCCCTGTCCCCTGTCCCTGTCCTGTCCCCGGCTGCGGATCCCCGACTGTCCCCGGCTGCGGATCCCCGACTGTCCCCTGTCCCCGGCTGTCCCCGACTCGGACCTGGCGCTCTCTGCGTCCTGGAGTGAGACCCGGGCTCGGATCCGGCGCTCTCTGCGTCCTGGAGTGGGACGCGGGCTCGTACCCGGCCCTCTGCGTCCTGGAGTGGGACCCGGGCTCGGACCCGGTCCCCTCTGCGTCCGCTGTCTTCGACTCGGACCTGGAGCTCCCCGCGTCCCTGCGTGAGACGCGGGCTTGGGCCCGGAGCCTTCTGCGTCCCACGATGCCGGCTGTCCGGGGCTCGAGCCCGCCCTCCGTCCCGGACGTAAGAGTCTGTCGGTGCGGACGCCGGTGACAGAGCGGCTCGGGGGTGGCGGCGGCGGCGGCCGTGTCGCCCTGACCCGCGTCTGCGGCGCGGCGGGGCGGGCCGGGGTGACGGGGCACTCTGGCGGGGCCAGGGCCGCCGGCGGCGCCCTGTTGACTCGGGTGACGCGCCCGCAGCGGCCGGTCGCCGACCCCGCCGCTCACTCGGCCTGCTGGTCACGTACTGGCTACCTTTATTACATCACAATTGCCTGTCAAAATTTACCCGGCTACGATAAAACAGCCGGCTGGGCTGGCGCCGGGAGAGCGGCTCCTGGCGCGGTGCCGGTGCGCGTCAGCCGGCCGGAGCCGCTCGGTGTGGTGGCGGGAGGCCCGGTCACTGACCATAGCCGTCTCTCTATATGGCAGACTCATCTCAGAGGGGTGTGTGCGCACCGTCGCGAACCGCCGAAACCCATGCGTTATCGTCGGTGAGAGTGCATTTTTCACATAAACGTTCAAACGCACGCTATCTGTAATCGCTATGGATGATTTATGTCCAGCTGCTCTGGTTAAATTGGTGGGTTCATCTGCCCACATAGGTATGTAAATAACCTTACTGTGCTCCAGAACATTGTTGCGATCACGGCAATAACTAGATTCAATTAAAATGGGGCGTTATTTATGGTTGCCACTTGGCGTTGCGAGCATT